GGAGTAGTGCTGTAGTGCAGTGAAGTGCCAGAGTAGTGATGTAGAGTACAGAGAAGTCCTGAGGTGCAGTGAGTGCTGTAGGAGTGGCTGTGGGGGGGGAGTGGCTGTGGGCGCAGGGCCCTGAAACCTCCACTAAACCGACACACTGGAACACGTATTACGAGTTTAATGCAACGCAAGCCTTGCATCTAAATTCGATCAAGTAAAATAACATCCAGTTGGAAAATTAATATATTCCTCTCATTGGCCTCATGCTTGGGACAAAACATAGCACGTAGTAAAATGATGTTTCCACCCGGGATCGAACCGGGGACCTTGCGCGTGTGAGGCGCACGTGATAACCACTACACTACGGAAACGATACCTCGTATGGCACGTTTGAAAAATGCTACGTTAGTTTGCTCCTAATGTATACATTTAATGATCGACGTTTATTCAAATAATGTTGTAACATGGTGTAGTGCACTAAATATAAAGTTGTATTTAAAATATATTAAATATAATTGTTCCGAACTACATTGAATTCGATTCAGAATGTATCTGATTTACAAAGTTCGAGAATATTTTGACAAAAAAGAGTAATAGCAGATTTTTTTCCAATTTACGACTATACTTTAAAATAAAAAGTGTGTTAGCGAAGAACTTTACACCAATTTGTGCTGTATTAAATAATGGATTCAGGCGCGTATATTAAACGGAACTCCAACACTGAAGATGAGGCGACGAGCGTATCTACGACAAGATACAGACGGAGGACGTTCAACACGAGTACGTAGAAAAACAAACAACCACTAGAAGAAGAAACTGAAGTACAGCCCAGAGTAACCAGCAATATTGAGTAAATGTTTGCCCTCACTTTAGCTCAACTTTATTCCGAACCTCAGCGGAGCAGACCGAGTATTGTGGTATCCATGATACTGCAGTGCACCATATGACCTCAGCGGAGCAGACCGAGTATTGCGGTATCCATGATACTGCAGTGCACCCTCTGACCTCAGCGCAGCACACGTATTGTGGTATCTATGATACTGCAGTGCACCATATGACCTCAGCTCAGCAGACCGAGTATTGTGGTATCCATGATACTGCAGTGCACCATCTGACCTTAGCGCAGCAGACCGAGTATTGTGGTATCCATGATACTGCAGTGCACCATATGACCTCAGCGCAGCAGACCGAGTATTGCGGTATCCATGATACTGCAGTGCACC